GGTTCTAATCACAGGACTCATGAGGTCATTTGCTTCTCCAACACATAATACCTTGATGGGCAGTACTGTCTCAAGGGGTTTCCTTTAGTGGAATTCCAGGTCCTGGGAAGAAAGTAACTACAACTTCCATGTAGCTCCCAGACTGACTAAAGCCCACTTGATCATCATAAACACTCCCTAAAGAACACTGCATCGCTAACCAATCAAAAGAAGGCGACAAGCACCACCAGTCAATCAGGAACCTGAACACACACTGAATATGCGCCTCTCATCCCAACATCAACCCATAAGAACCTTCCCCCTAACCCCTCAGGGAGGCCAAGAATTCAGCAACAGCTGCCCTGCTCCTTGCTGTGTGCATTGCAATAAGCAATTCCACCACCCAGTCAGTAATTGGTTTTCTGTGCATCCATGGCACAGACCCCTTTTGGGGGTGGGGGATGGGGGTACACAGCAACTCCTCCAACCTGTTCTGAGGGTTGTTCATATCAGTTTGACAAGCATCACCTTGTATATCCACCTCTTGGTAGATGGCCCACTAATCTTACTGTAAGTTACTCAAAAAACAGGGGGTGGTTCACACAAAGAGGGGAAAAAGCATCATTAATTGTGTAATGAATATTAGGAGAGCTTCAGAATCTTAAAGGGAAATGGAGAACAGGGGTTGTCAGAAAGCACTTAATATATACTTTAGAAGGGAGGGAGGCAAGGAGGAAGAAATGAGGGAGTGAGGAAGAAATGGAGGCAGGAAAGAAGGCAAGCAGGGGAAGGGAGGGTGGGAGTGTGGGAGAGAGGGGGAAGAAGGGATAAAAGAAGGAATAGGAGGGGCCAGTGCTATGGTATAGTGGGTAAAGCTGCCACCTGTAGTGCCACCATCCCATATGGGCACGTGTTCAAGTCCCGGTTGTACCACTTCTGATCCATCTCTCTGCTATGGCCTGGGAGCAGCAGAAGATGGCCCAAGTCCTTGGGCCCCTGTGCCAGTGTGGGAGACCTAGAAGAAGCTCTGGCTCCTGGCATCGGATGTGCCCAGCTCTGGCCACTGCAGCCATCTGGGGAGTGAACCAACCAATGGAAGACTTTCTCTCTCTCTCTCTGTCTCCCTCTCTCTCTCTCTGCCTCTCTGTAACTCTGCCTTTCAAATAAATAAATAAATAAATATTAATTTTAAAAAAAGAAGGAAGAGGAAAGGAGAGAGGGGAAAGGGGAAAATGAAGGAAGGAACAAAGTAAAAAGTGAAAAGTAAAAGTCACACTCCCCAGAGTTTCCCCACAATAAACAGTGGGTTCCTTTTGTTTTGTTTTGTTTTGTTTTAATTTTTTTTTTTTTGACAGGCAGAGTGGACAGTGAGAGAGAGAGAGAGAGAGAGAGAGAGAAAGGTCTTCCTTTGCCGTTGGTTCACCCTCCAATGGCCGCCACGGCCGGCGCACCGCGCTGATCCGAAGGCAGGAGCCAGGTGCTTATCCTGGTCTCCCACGGGGTGCAGGGCCCAAGTACTTGGGCCATCCTCCACTGCACTCCCTGGCCATAGCAGAGAGCTGGCCTGGAAGAGGGGCAACCAGGACAGAATCCGGCGCCCCGACCGGGGCTAGAACCCGGTGTGCCGGCGCCGCAAGGCGGAGGATTAGCCTAGTGAGCCGCGGCGCCGGCCCAACAGTGGGTTCTTAACAAGTGTTCACTGAATTGAACTGCACTGCTCAAGGAAGTTTAGTACCACTTTTCCGACTCCAGCCTCACTTTCTAAGCTTTTTCTCTAGAGAGTGGTAAAAGAATGCACACATTGTGCCAATGCCACACCCTTCACTCCACACCTGGGACCTGGCAGTGAGCTGGGTCTGCCCCCAGAAGAGAAGACAAACTGGTCCATGCATTGTCTCAGATCAAATCCTGGTTCCTGGCAGGACTGTAACTCCACTGCTCAGGGAATAAAAACATCACTGGTGGGTAATGTACTCTTCACTTAAAGCTATTGGTTTTTTATTCACAAATAACAAGTTCAACTATTTCTTGTTTTTTTCATTTTATTTTGTTTTTGTCTGTTTGTAAGAAGACCGTAAGAAGTAAAACCAATAGCAAACAGTGCAGAGAACTAAATAAACAGCCACTGTGCTCAGTGCCAAGCGGAAGCTGAGTATGACTAAAGGAGAAAGTGTAACAGGCAGACTTCCTCCTAGCATTGCTTACACAGGGGAATCAATCTCTCAAAATACACATACTCCCAGCATCCTTTTATTTATTTATTTATTTATTTATTTATTTATTTATTTGCTTATTTACTTATTTATTTAGTTTTGAAACTGACATGAGCCTCAGACCTGCCATTATCTGGACCTGGGCAGAAGCAGGGACCCCTGCCTTCCCTGGGGAATGTAAAGTTCTTTAGTGGTCAGATTTCAGGTACATGATCACTTGCATGTGTTATACTTTGCTTCAGCATCTGTTTGTTCCTATCTTTCCTAAATAATGTAACCACAGAAAGACACAGCTCTGCAGCAAGGCTAATAAATGGTTAGGGCTGCCAAAATCATTTCCCAGTCACCCTTGGCATAGCGAAGGGAGATGCTATGGGTGAGGGTTAAGAAGATAATGACCCAGCCACAGGTGGCTTAGCTTTTGCTAGTCTCCACGGTGCTCTGGGCTTGCTTATCTTATTTATGTAAAGTGGGGGCTGCTTGCTTAGCTGGCTGAGAGTTGCAAAACAGTGTTTATCAGGATGTGACCCAAGTGCTCAGAAAACAGAAAATATTTACCAGAGGATGCTTAGTTTGTCTTAGGAGATAAAAGTGGTACAAACATTTTAGGAGGCGTTGTTCTTTACAATGTCTTCTAACTATAAATTTTATATATGTGTATAAACATTTATATATCATATGTATGTAATTATAGAAAAATCTAAAATAAACTAGAATCCTTTTTAATGCCACTAACCAGAGATAATCAATATATGTATTTTCATTGTTTTCTGTATATATTTATACAACTGTTTATTTCCATAAAACTCAAACCTTATTGCTTTAGTAACCTACTTTTTTCATACATTTATTACAAACACTTTCTCATGTTATTAAACATTCTTCAATAACATGGGGAGCAGTCTTTGTAAATTTAATTAAAACAGGTATATTAGCTTAATCTCCTAGATTACTACTTAAACAACTGGAATTTGATAATTTTTAAACTCTTTAACTTCACCTTGAATAGACCAAGAGAAAATTCAAGACAAAGAGCATAGCAGCAAAATCTTAAACAATCCTAATTTAAAAATAAAAGAATATGGCATAAAACTAGCCACTGCATTTTATATCCTTTCAGGGTAAAACTTGATAAACTTGGATAAGATTATATAATATATGGATTTTAATTAATACTTAAAAAGCCATTGTTTTGTTCCAAATACAATGCCATTTGTTATGTCAGGGTCACCTTCCTTTGGCAGACAATGGGAAGAAGAGTCACTAAAATGACTAAAATTAATTAACTACTGTGTTCCATAAATCACAAAACAGATCTTTGGGAAATCCCACAGAATTAAACATATAAATTATATGAAAACAAGAATATTGACAGGTGTCTGCCATAACAGGAGGCTCATAAGAACAAAACAGATTTCTCGGCGAGGTAAATATTCACAGAGAAATGCTCCGTGGTCTCACTTGTAAGCGGAATGTTAAGAAGCTGAACTCGGGGTAGAATAGTGGACACCAGGGGCTGCATGGAGAATGGCAGACACGAGGAGCTGGGGTGGGGGTGCAGGGTTGGGAAGATGTTGGTCGAAGGACACAAAATGTCACTTAGGCAGTTGGAATTGGTTCAGATGATCAACCATGGCAGCCAGAGTTAGTCACACTGTACTGCATTCTTGAAAATTGACAGAAGAATATGTTTAAGTGTTTCCACCACAAAAAGTGACACGAGCTATTGTATATGCCAATTAATTCAATTTAGCCATTTCACAGTGTACACATATTTCAAAACATCATGATGTAGAACACAAATACATAGAATTTGTATTTGTCAATTAAGATAATTAATTCAAGAACTTAAGAGAGAGGAAAACGCTAAGGTAGTATTTCCATAAACTATGGACATTGCTGTTAACTCAACACCTGTTAATTTATATTTATTAAATCGTGGCCCGGTGCATATTTCTTGATTAGCAAATAAATTCCTATCGTTCTATGGATACGGGGTAGTTAGACGAAAATATGTTTAAATACAGAAAGGAAGACCTTTCTCTCTGTCTCTCTCTCACTGTCCACTCTGCCTGTCCAAAAAAAAAAAAAAGAAATACAGCCTCCCTCGAAGGTTAGTGGCCTTTACGAGGATTCCTTTTTTTTTTCCTTCCCCAGAATTCATATACAGAGGACAAGACCCGAAGAAGTGGACGCGGATCCCAGGCACAGGGCCAGTTTCCAGGGGCACGCACCTGCGCACCTGCTGGGCGCCCCGCAGATGCCACACAGACGGAAGCCAGCGGCGGGGGTTGGCTCGGCCTCCCTCCTGCCTCTCTCCCTGGAAACTGGACATTTTCCTTTGTCCAAACCCCAGAGTCAGCAGCAACCAACAAGCCTGACCTGAAAGCGGCCGTCGCCACACATGAATATCTTTCATGCCCGCTACGGGACAGTGGGTCGCTCGGGTCCACGTCACTGACCACCAGTGGCCAGCGAGACAAAGAGGGAACTCAGCAAGGGAGAGGATAGGGAGAGGGAGCCCCAGAAGCCGCTGCTTGTGCATTTGGTGGGTGCGCTGGTGGGCGTGACCCACCAGTGCCTCCTGAGAAAAAGTCCGGCAAATTCAACGGACAGCAAAGCCCACGAAAGTGCTTTTCAGCCCCCCACCCCCGGACTGCGAAGTGGAACCCCAGAACGAACGCCGGTCTCCACTCCTCCCCGCCACTACAACTCCCCTCACAGGGCCCCGGACAACCGGGCCGCCCGGCAACGCATGCGCCGCAGGGCCCGGCGTGGGAGCCGCGCGCGACGGGGCGCGCACAGTACCAGCTTATCCATGGCGCTGCGCGGGGCTCGTGGCGTGGTGGTGGCTGCGGCCCGGCAGCTGCAGGGCCCGCGGTGCTGTGGCCACAGCCGTATCGGCCCGCGGCTGCTCCCGGAGCCGTAGTGACCGCCAGGCGCCCGGCTGGTCAGCTGTGTGCGGCTCCCGCGGTTGCCATGGCGACGGGCCGCGCTCCGCGGTTGGCGCCTCACCGTGGGCTCCCCGGAGGGCCAGGCAGAACTTCCGGCCTCGGGACCCCGCTGTCATTTCTTCCCGTTTTCCGTAGGTTTCTGTGAGGCCTCAGGTGAATGGTGTGTCCGGCGTCCTCTACGGCCAAGTCCACTAGCTTGGAATTGGTTTGAATGTTCCTGGACTGAGGAGAAAAAGTAATTCGAAAGGAAATTCTAACTTCCAGTCGCACGTCCCGGGGCTGCCTGGTCAGACACCTGCTGTGTATCCTGCTTAAGCAGCGATGGATAGTCACCTGGAGGCTCAACCTGGAGGTGATAATGTCCTAAATATTCCTTCTGTGGAAACAGCACCTGCACTGCTATGTGTGGATTCCAGGGGACTTTGCCTTAAAGGAGTTTCCAAAGGAATTTGTGGAGAAATATTTCACGTCTACCATCTCTCCTTTCTCATCTAAGCCAGCACTTGTCCAACAGAGGTGAGGGAACTTGAAAATGTTCCTGGAAAATGGAATTAAAAGAGAAGTTTATTTGGGTGCAAATCCATGCATGGTTTGTTCATAATACTCATCCTCCATGAGTTTGTTTGATGACCACTTTATGCAGAGCTCTCAAAATGTTTTTGTCTCTAAACTGAAATCCTGACTACTTATGAAAAGTTTAATGAGCTCACAGTTCTGGAGGTTCAAAGACCAAGGGCATAGCAGTGGGCTGTGCAAGGCAGTGCCCTGGCTGCTCATGTCCTGGGGGACTGCAGCGCTGGGAACTTGAGTGAACGGGAGATTCCATTTCCAGGAAGGGGCCCCACATTCTCTATGGAGGTCATGCCCCAGTAGATCCAAGAACTGCCCAGTACCCCCATTCCCAATTCCGCCACCCTGGGGACCAAGCTCTGAGCACTTTGGGGGAAGATACAAACTATATTCAAACCACAGCACTCTTGAGCAATTCTTAAGTGGCAAAAAAGCATTTCAGAAACTGAGAAAATTAGAAATGACATTTTAACAGTCTGACTTTCTAGGAAATCTGTGTAGCTGCCTACAAGGGGCATCTTTGCTATGTGGTGCCTTTTGTATTCACCTAAAGATGCTGAGCAAGGACTCCACCCCTGCTTTGTCAGGGACTATACAGCATCATCATCCTGCCTCTCTTCATTAGCATGTCCTCAGAGTTCATTGTGTCTCCTAATAATCACCTTAGAAATTTTAGAAACACTCCCTCAAGAAACGAGTTATCCTTTTAACAGAGATGAAGACTCAGCTTGGTGAGCTCCCTGGGGAAAGATGGTCCCTAGAAAATAGATTTGCAAGGAGGGAATGAAAGTGAAGACTTTCCTAGGTGATTATTGAGTAGTAACTCATCTATTGCAGAACACTGTCTAAATCCTGGCTGTCCTCATTACTGCCCCTGTAACTGAGCAGACACAGAGATGAATGAAGTGCCTGCCCAAAGCTACCTGAGCAGAAACGTGAAAGGAATTTATGAGCCACGGCATCCTGGCTCCACCTGGCACCTGACGTCCAGGCTGCACGGGGAGGCTGGACGGTCCTGCAGGTGAGGAGGTGGGTAGAGGGAGGGGCACCTCAGGGATGGTGCAGACCTACACAGATCTGGCTGATCTCGGAAAGGCAGGGTGACAAGTAGGCTAATACAACTGTATAGTTACCTAATCTAGACCATCTGAGGCAAAATTGTGAACCATACCTTTTTGACTTTGGTGTTCCCTTCCAGCTGAAAGTGCTTTGTTCCTGGATTCTGTACAATATTCAGTATCCTGACTTCCACAGACTTCCAGACCTGCCCCAGTCATCCCAGTCCATGACTAATACTTAACGACTCCCTCCCCTGGTCATTGCCCTCATGTGAAACCCTCTGGCTTCCTGACTTACTATAGATCAACTCTTGCAGTGAGAAACTGTTGGACAGAACTGGATACCTGGCATGACTGGCCCTCATGCCCTTCCCATAGCTGTACACTTAAGCTTGACGTACTGGAGGTGACATAAAGTCCATGATAGGAACCTCGGGTGCAATGACAGGTGATGAAGATGCTTGAGGTGCAAGATCTTGTAAGCTCCTTAGAACAAGTCTGCCCTGACCGTGATCAGAAACTACCCCCATCCCTCACCCTCCACCCTAGCCCCACTGAAGGGAGTTAGACTAGCCTGCTATAAGGAAATAATTCTATTTTCCTTTTCTTAAAAAAAAAATTTTAAATAATCCTCAAATGCCCTTGGTTGAGCAAAGCTTCCAGGCACAGGCAGGTGTCAGTGCAGCTAGAAGGTGTCTATGAACTTTTGGAGGACCCTTTGTAGGCTCAAATTTCAAATATTTTTACACCAAAATTAACTTTTAATTCTACTTTTCCATAAACTACTTAAAATACCTTCATATGTTACAGGTACAAATTCATAGAATTTGCTTCACAGTCGTGGGAGTTGGCAAGTTCAGTATCCCCCGAGCAGGCTAAAATCTGGGGCAGGAACTGAAGCTGCAGTCCACAGACAAGACTGCTTTTTCCTGGGGGAAACTGTGGCTTTGCTCTTAAGGCCTTTTGTTTATTTTATTTGTAAGATTTATTTATTGGAAAGGCAGTGGCAGAGACAGAGAGAAAGAGAGAGGTCTTCCATCGGCTGGTTCACTCCCCCAGTTGGCCGCAGCGGCTGGTGCTGTGCCAATATGAAGCCAGGAGCTGGGCACCGGCGTCCAATATAGGATGCCGATGCTGCAGGCAGCAGCTTTACCAGCTACACCATAGTGCCAGCCCCTCCTAAGGCCTTTAAATGGTGGCCACTTGCTTGGCCCGAAAACTGATACAAAAAAAATAGAGATGTTGAAGTGCCATTATTTGAAGAATTTTAGTGATATTTTATAATTAAAATGGTAGACTTTCCACCAAAAATAAAATCTCATGACCCAGAAAGCTAAGCACATGGGATGAATATGTTTTATCAGCCTGACAAAATATAAAATTGCTACAGAAGGTTTAAACTAGAAAGACACCAACCGGAAAGAAAATTCAAGGGTGTAGTCACTGTCTTGTGTATCTGTAGAATCATGGTTTACCAAAATATTTCTATCTGAAATATTATAGAGAAAATATTACCCACAAAAACAATGTACAGACCTTGATATTGCACAGTGAAATTTAACATGCAGTTTGAGGTGTCCAATAATAATAAGTGTTAAATGCTACTATGAAATATATGTAATAAAACTATATTTCTTTTTTGCCAAGGTGCAATGGTTTAATAAAAATAATAAAGCTTAGGTTGGCGCCGCGGCTCAATAGGCTAATCCTCCACCTAGCGGTGCCAGCACACCGGGTTCTAGTCCCGGTCGGGGTGCCGGATTCTGTCCCGGTTGCCCCTCTTCCAGGCCAGCTCTCTGCTGTGGCCCGGGAAGGCAGTGGAGGATGGCCCAAGTGCTTGGGCCCTGCACCCCAGGGGAGACCAGGAGAAGCACCTGGCTCCTGCCTTCGGATCAGCACGGTGCGCCGGCCGCAGCGCGCAAGCCGTGGCGGCCATTGGAGGGTGAACCAACAGCAAAAGGAAGACGTTTCTCTCTGTCTCTCTCTCTCTCTCACTGTCCACTCTGCCTGTCAAAAAAAAAAAAAAAAAAAAAAAAAAAAAAGCTTCATAAATGGGATTTGCTATTTTATCAGAATAAGATTTTCTTCCTCTATCTAAATATAACCAGTTTGTTACTTAAATAATTGGAATTTAAATCATTAAATTAATGATGAGAAATAAAAATATTGTAAATTCATGAAGAGTTCCTTATAAGAGAAATTGCCTTTACATTGTAGATTTTAGCTTGGGTCTTCAAGGTATAGCTTCAGATTATCAAAAGCCAGTGAGGGGCCAGCACTGTGGTGGAGCAGGTAAGGCCACTACCTGCAGTGCCTTATGGGTCCCATATGGGTGCCGGTTTGAGACCCAGCTACTGCACTTCTGATCCAGCTATGATGTGGGAAAGCAGTAGAAGATGGCCCAAGTCCCTGTGCTCCTGTATCCACGTGTGAAACCCAGAAGAAGCTCCTGGCTCCTGACTTCGGATTGGCACAGCTCCAGCTGTTGCTGCCAGTTGGGGAGTGAACCAGTAGATGGAAGACCTCTCTCCCTCTGCCTCTCCTTCTCTCTCTGTGTAACTCTGACTTTCAAATAAACAAATAAATATTAAAAAAAAAAAAAAAAAAAAGCCAGTGAAGGGGCTGGCGCTGTAGCATAGCAGGTAAAGCTGCCACCTGAAGTGCCACCATCCCATATGGGCTCTGATTGAATCCCAACTGCTTTACTTCCAATCCAGCTCTCTGTTATGGCCTGAGAAAGCAGTAGAAGAGAGACCTAGTCCTTGGGCCCCTGTAGTGTCTGGGAGACCCAGAAGAAACTCCTAGCTCCTAGCTTCGGATTGACCCAGCTCTGACCATTGCAGCCATCTGGGGAGTGAACCAGCAGATGGAAGACCTCTCTGTCTCTGCCTCTACCTCTGCTTCTCTGTAACTCTGCCTTTTGAATAAATACATAAATCTTTAAAAAAAAAAAAAGCCAATGAAGTAATCTTCCCAAGAAACAGCTACTTTGGGGCACCTGGATAACCTTACTAATAATTTTTAGCATTGAAGTGTTAAAGCAGTTTCTCCACCAAATTGAAAAGAGCATGTGTCAAAGTTTTATTTCAAATTCTCCACAAGAAACATGGAGCCAATTCAAAGACATCCCTTCTGTTAGAGATATTTATAGAAAAAAGAAACGACTGCTAAGGGAAATTTTCCAAAACTTGGAAATAAGCAAGACAGAAACTTGGACAAATTTTCTGTCCTACAGTGATACATTAATAACAGACCTACCCCAGGATTATTTGATTCTCCAAGGGAATACATCTTTGATTTAGTATTTATCATTGATAAGGGTGCAGATTTTGAAGTGATAGGTTGATGTATAGGTTCTTTCTGAAAGAAAAGATAGCCATGAAAGTTACCATTGTATTGTCATGGATGGCAAAAGCGAGTTTTGTATCTAACAATGCATTCTTTCATTGATGATATACACTTTAGAATTTCCTGTAATTCTTAAACTAACTGGGCCTCTCGAAAGTGAGTCAAAAGTCTTTTTTTGTTTGTTTGTTTGAAAGGCAGAGTTAGACAGTGAGAGAGACAGAGATAAAGGTCTTACTTCTGTTGGTTCACCCCCCAAATGGCCGCAACGGCCAGTGCGCTGAGCTGATCCGAAGCCAGGAGCCAGGAGCTTCCTCCTGGTCTCCCATGCAGATGCAGGGGCCCAAGCACCTGGGCCATCCTCCACTGCCCTCCCAGGCCACAGCAGAGAGCTGGACTGGAAGAGGAGCAACCGGGACTAGAACCTGGAGCCCATATGGGATGCCGGTGCTGCAGGCAGAGGATTAACCAAGTGAGCCACAGCACTGGCTACTGTTTTTACATTTATATAATAATTATACTTTTAACCTTTCAAAATTATACTTTGATTTGATACAGTTTAGAATAAGTCTGGTGATTCCTCAATGGCAGGTGGTCAGTTAGAAGGGTGGATAGGCACATAACTTTCCAGAAAAGTTTCTTAACGTCCTTCAAATGTATCCCAAGACTGTTCAGTAGTGCCAATGACTTCCCAAAATGAGTTACAACTTCTATCCACTAAACATGTCTCTAGTAGATCTTGTTTGGAACAGTTTTCTTTCCCAACTGCCATTTTGAATATGGAAACATCATATATACTGTCTATGATCAATTGACATAAATGACCATAGAATTATGCTCCAGACTGACCTGCCTCAAGCCCAATTCTCTATGTACACATTTGCTTCTCCATGCACATTGCACAAAGGTGCTGTTGCAGGACTCCAGAGCTCACAAAGTCTTAGTTCAAGCACCCAGAAGAGGTGGACTGATAAGCATGTCTGAACTCCAATTCCTGAAGAGAGAATCTTGGAGCTAGTGTTCATCTTGATCCTATCAGATATGACCAGTGAAGTCCAAGAGAGCTATCACCTCTAGAGGACGGATGGTCCTCTAGAAAGAACATAGAAGAAGCAGACAACCAGCAAGGTGTTGTCTTGGTCAGCCAGGCTGCTGTAACAAAATATCATAAATGAGTGGCTTAAGCAGCATTGACTTTCTCATTGTTCTGGACATCCTAAACCAGGATGCTGGCATGATCTCTTTCCAGTGACAGTCCCTCCTGGCTTGCAAATGGCAGCCTCTTCACTTTGTCTCAGGTGGCCTTTCCTTAATAAATGTGCATGTAGGCCACCAATCCCTTGGAACAGGGCCCCCCCCTTATGACTTCATTTAACCTTAATCACCTTCTGAAAGTCTTATCTCCAGATATAGTTGCAGTGGGACTCAGGGCTTTAGCAGATGAATTGGGTTGAGGAGACACAATTGAGTCCATAGCAGGAGTCCACTATAAGCCAAACGAGAACACTTCAAGGATATGGAAACTTTCTTCTCATTCTTTCAACTTCCTTCCCATGGCATATTTTGTCATTTATTTCTTCATTCATTCATTTACCAATCAAGCAGTGCCAGGGGAAAAAAGATGAATGAGACACAACCCTGCCATTGCGAACTACACTGGCTAGAGGGAGAAATGCATTTGGAGAAGAAATGGACACAGTTTTCTGGGCACACAGAAGAAGAGACAACCAAATGTGTAAGGGACCCAAGGAAGATTGGACGGAAAGGGCCTTGGAGGGGGTCCAGGCAATGAGCTACTTCCTGCTTTACATTTGGTTAGTCTTATTATTATTATTATTATTTTGACAGGCAGAGTGGATAGTAAGAGAGAGAGAAAGGTCTTCCTTTTCCGTTGGTTCACCCTCCAATGGCCGCCACGGCTGGCACGCTGCGGCCGGCGCACCGCGCTGATCCGAAGGCAGGAGCCAGGTGCTTCTCCTGATCTCCCATGGGGTGCAGGGCCCAAGCACTTGGGCCATCCTCCACTGCCTTCCCGGGCCACAGCAGAGAGCTGGCCTGGAAGAGGGGCAACTGGGACAAAATCCGGTGCCCCGACCGGGACTAGAACCCACGGCGCCGGCCCACATTTGGTTAGTCTTAATGCTTCTTTGCTACCATTAGATCTCCTTCTGGATGATTGGGAAACCTCTACTTCTAGGTTGTTGAAACAGAGATGCTTTCTATTTGTAATCTATACTCCTTAAAGTCTTTTACTCTCAAAGAGCACTTTTACAGTCCACTAAATTCCTGGTACAAGTCAGGTCATTTCTGGTTTAAGGAACGTGTCTTTTTCTCCTCAATGGCCAAACATACTAAAGTGTCCTATTTCTCTCGGGCTAGTTGCTTATTGGAGCTATCAGCTCCAGGCACGGCTGCTGCAAAAGGACAGGGGATCCAGCTGCCATCACCTTCCTTATCCCTAGATCTCTTGGATACCATCATCAAGGTCAGTCTGGATGAAATTTTCTAAAGGCAAATATCACATGTTTTCCTCAATTTGTGGTAATTAATAGAGTGCAAAAAAATGCAGATGAGCAAAGTTGACGTTTTGAGGATGATTGTTTATAGCCCTGTCTCTACTGTTGAGGACCAGTTTCTTTCTTCCCACTATTTGTTGAAATTCTTTACTTAGTGGAGAGTTAATCTTATGATTATAAAGTAAACTGAAAGTATGTCATTATAAAAACTGAAGGAAAGATTAAGGAAGGAAGAGGAGGGAGGGTGTGGCATAGGGGCAGAGGGAGGGTCGGGTTGGAAGTATCACTTTGCTCCTAAATCTGGTATTTGTGAAATATGTTCACCCTATATAAGTAAAAAATAATGAAAAAAATTTTAATTAAAATATAATCATAAAAATGTTAGATATTAAGAGAGATTTCAGCAGTCCATAGGCTAAAATCAAATTAATATTTTACATGGAATTTCAAAATTTAAATGACTATTCTCTTATGCCAATGGCCATTACTGCTATTGAGAAAAAGGCCATCATTCTCTTGGATTTTGTTCACCAGGACAAGAACGTTGTGACAAAATCTTGGGGAAATCATCTCCCTCCAGGGTGACCCTACAAATCAGCTCTTTCAACATTAACATGGAGAGAGACCACCTCAAGATGAGGATGTACAAAGCCTTGTAATTCACACCCCACACAACTGGACACTTACAATGACACGAACAAGAGCAGTGCTCCAGTGCATCTTACGTGGTTTGTGAAGTAGGGCTTGCTAAGCAAATGAATGGTGAAGACAAAACTTACTTGAAAGGGGAAAAATAGCCTGTTGAATCTTTCTGTATTACATTTTTCAAATATTTGTAAACACTCCGGTGAACTATGTGTTCACAAATCATTGATAAGTTACATGGAAAGCATTTTTATGCATGCATCAGAACTGATTCCCTCAGAGTTCCTGCCAGACAATGCTTTGGTATCCTGGGCTTAATGTGTATATTTAAAAGTAATGAACACTGTACCTCTTATTTATTTACCTAAGAAGAAGAGAGACAGAGATCTCACATCTATTGATTCACTCCCCTAAATATCCATAATGGCTGGGGCTGGGCCAAGGCCAAAATGGGAGTCGGAAACTCAATCCAGGTTTCCCACATGGGTGGCAGGGACCCAAGTATTTGAGACATCACCTGTCTCCTTACAGGGTCTGTATTAGAAGGAAGCTGGGGCCAGTGCCATGGCTCAATAGGCTAATCCTCCGCCTTGCGGTGCCGGCACACCAGGTTCTAGTCCTGGTCGGGGCACCGGATTCTGTCCCGGTTGCCCCTCTTCCAGGCCAGCTCTCTGCTGTGGCCCGGGAAGGCAGTGGAGGATGGCCCAAGTGCTTGGGCCCTGCACCCGCATGGGAGACCAGGATAAGTACCTGGCTCCTGCCATCAGATCAGCGCAGTGTGCGGGCCACAGCGCGCTGGCCCCGGCGGCCATTGGAGGGTGAACCAACTGCAAAGGAAGACCTTTCTCTCTGTCTCTCTCTCACTATCCACTCTGCCTGTCAAAAATAAATAAATAAATAAATAAATAAAAATTTAAAAAAAAAGAAGGAAGCTGGAATCATGGGCCAGAGCTAAGATTTTAACTGAGGCCTCTGGTAAGGGATATAGGCATCTTCACCAGCATCTTAACTACTAGACCAAACATCTGTCCCTGTATCTCACTTTATAATATGGTAAAATGCATTTGTCTGAATTAGTGAGAAGTACAGCTTTGTGTGTGCAAATATGTGAAAATCCCTCTCAGCATTCCTTATCTGAATTGCCCTCCTCTTTCCAGCAGTTTGATGGAAAATGGAGTGCCCCCTGCTAGTTGTCCAGGCCAAGTAGCCCCTCACTTACCTTCAAGGCAGTTTTAAGAAGGTTCACCTTAAGCATTGTTCTTCAGGGAGGCTAATCACACAGGTTGCCACCTCAGCCTAAGCAGCTGAAAGGAGAAGCAGATGAGACAAACCGTAAGAAGTATTCACATGTTCAACTACACCCAGTTTCACCCTAATCACATCTCTTCTCAGTATGTTTGAAGAAGGGTAGCTAAGGAAAGTTTTCCTGTTTGTTTTATTTACTTTTTAAGTTTTCTTTCGCTTTTTTATTTGAAAAGCAGATGACAGAGAGGGAGAGACAGAAAGAGATCATCCATCTGCTGGCTCATGCCCCAAGTACCCTCAATAGTCAGGGCTGGGCCAGTTCAAAGCCAGGAACCGGGAACTCCATCTAGGTCTTGCATACAAGTGGCAGGAACTCAAATACTTGAGCCAATGTCTGTTGTCTCTCAGATGCATTAGCAGGAAGCTAGATCAGAAGTAAAACCAAGGGGCCAGTGCTGTGGTGTAGCAGGCTAAGCCTCCACCTCCAGTGCCGGCATCCCATATAGGCACCAGTTCATGTCCTGGCTGCTCCAGTTCCAATCCAGTTCTCTGCTATGGCCTGGGAAAGCAGTAGAAGATGGCCCAAGTCCTTGGGCCCCTGCATGCATGTGGGAGACCCAGAAGAAGCTCCTGGCTTTGGATCAGCCCAACTCTGGCCATTGCAGCCATTTGGGGAGTGAACCAGCAGATGGAAGACTTTTCTGTCTCTCCCTCTCTTTGTAACTTTAACTCTTAAATAAATAAATAAAATCTTAAAAAAAAAAAAAAAAAGTAGAGTCAAAACTCAATCCCAGGGTCAGCGCTGTGGCCTGGCCTGAAGCACCGGCATCCCATATGGGTGCTGGTTCGAGACCCGGCTGTTCAGCTTCCAATCCAGCTCTCTGCTATGGCCTGGGAAAGCAGTAGAAGATGGCCTAAGTTCTTGGGCCCCTGCACCCACATGAGAGACCTGGAAGAAGCTCCTGGCTCCTGGCTTCAGATCAGCATAGCTCCGGCTGTTGCGGCCAATTGGAGAATGAACCATCAGATGGAAAGACTTCTCTCTCTCTCTGCCTCTCCTCCCTCTGTGTAACTCTGACTTTCAAATAAATAAATAGATCTTTAAAAAAATTCAATTCCAGGTACTCCAATATGTACCAAGTAGTAACTTAACTCAGTGTGCCATAATGCCTGCCCCTATTTCATTTATTCTTATTAATTTTTATTCTTTGATGTCATAAGTAAGGCTAGCCCTCTTTACATTTTCTCAAAACCACCATTTATTGAGGGAATCCAATTTTTGGAAAAATCTTTTACCAGAAAGCAAGGGCACAGTGCTCTTTTTTTTAACTTTTATTGAATAAGTATAAATTTCCAAAGTACAGCTTTTGGATTACAGTGGCTTTTTCCCTCCCATAACTTCCCTTCCACCTGCAACCCTCCCCTCTCCTGCTCCCTCTCCATTCACATCAAGATTCTTTTTTTTTTTTTTTTTTGGACAGGCAGAGTGGACAGTGAGAGAGAGAGAGACAGAGAGAAAGGTCTTCCTTTTGCCGTTGGTTCACCCTCCAATGGCCGCCACGGCTGGCACGCTGCGGCCGGCGCACTGCACTGATCCGAAGGCAGGAGCCAGGTGCTTCTCCTGGTCTCCCATAAGGGTGCAGGGCCCAAGCACTTGGGCCATCCTCCACTGCCTTCCCGGGCCACAGCAGAGAGCTGGCCTGGAAGAGGGGCAACCGGGACAGAATCCGGCGCCCCGACCGGGACTAGAACCCGGTGTGCCGGCGCTGCTAGGTGGAGGATTAGCCTATTGAGCCGCAGCGCTGGCCAAGATTCATTTTGAATTATCTTTATATACAGAAGATCAATTTAGTATATATTAAGTAAAGCTTTCAACAGTTTGCACCCACACAGAAACACAAAGTGTAAAGTACTGTTTGAGTACTAGTTATACCGTAAATTCACATAGTACAACACTTTAAGGACAGAGATCCTACATGGGGAGTAAGTGCACAATGACTCCTGTTGTTGATTTAACAATTGACACTCTTGTTTATGGTGTCAGTAATCACCCTAGGCTCTTGTCATGAGTTGCCAAGGCTATAGAAGCCTCTTGAGTTTGCCAACTCTGATCTTATTTAGACAAGGTCATAGTCAAAGTGGAAGTTTTCTCCTCCCTTCAGAGAAAGGTACCTCCTCCTTTGATGGCCTATTCTTTCTACTGGGATCTCATAGTGCTCTTTTTATCTTTGCTCTTTTAAAATGTTCATTTATGGTCTTCAAAATCAAAGGTGGTATGTTTTACCACATAAATAATCGACAATGAGAGTCAAGCTGCTGGAGAAGTTATAGATTTGGTTTAAGTTAAACAAAGAATCTTCTATTTTTAGATTCATTATAGCAATGCAGTGATTATGTTACTCTTTTCAAAACCAGCTTTCATTAAATGGATTTTTAAGAAGATTTTAGTTCTAAGAAACATGATTCCGTGTTTACAAGTACTAATTTTACTTCTATAAAATGGCACAATCCTTAAAATGTGGCAATATCTATTTCCCAAATGCCATGTCAAAAGGCACCAGAATGTACTAAAAATTATTGAGTTCTCAATTTATTACTACATTGTTTCCATTTGCTTAGAGCTGTGCCACAATAGGAGAAGAAATGAAGAGGTTAATGTTCAAGCTACTTTGAGTATGCATATTTTAACAAAATGTGATTTAAAATTTCAAGAAGCACAGATGGTTGATCAAGTGCAAGAACTGTGATGGATGGAAGATCATATATGAATGTGGAACCCAATTACAAACATCAAATGCCACTTGGGTTAGCATTCATTATGTTGTTGCTTTGTTTCTTCTGCAGCAGAAAGTTAATGATGGATGACACTACAGTTCAACAATATATCAATCAATTCTGGGAGCCACTCATCCTTTTCACTTTATATCCTCCTTTTGGCAGAATTTAAAACCATAGAGTATGAGAAGTTCAATAGCATCTCTTTACTCATTCTAGGAAATCTTCCCTAAGACCCTTCTACATTCAAGTCTGGTAATATGGAAATTAGCCCAGCTGTTGAAGCCATAGGCAGCTGTCTCCA